GATGAGCACAATAACTGGAAGATGAAAGGAAGGGATCATGTCAGTGGGTGATTAAGAGGAATGTCAGTCAGCACGCAGCATCTGCTTCCCTTTACACCAGTTACTCAGCTCTCTCTCTGAGCCGTGCCCGTTCATGAGGTTTGGAATCCTCTCCATCCTCATGCTTCTCTCTTGTGCTCACTGTGTCTCCATGTCAGTCATAGACTTCAGACATGTAAACTGAAGTATATTAAAGGAAACATACTCAGGTGAGCTGGTGAATGTGAACGGAATCAGCATGTTGTGGTCTGGGGCTGAATCAAAATTTCAATGCTGCATCTATATTTCAGATGGGAAGGGATTGTGGGCTGCCAAATGATCTGGACCTCACTGGGATCATCTGGAACTATTTATGTGAAGCCTGTATGCCAGCGTCACTTCATTCGTATGCCTGTGTGGAAGCTGTTCTAGCAAAAGTAAAAATGCAGTGAATTTCATTCGTCTTTGCTGAAAGGAGGACCTGCTTAGTTGGTGACTGACTTTTGTCTTATGACTGAGCTTCTGGTGTTTCCAACATAGATCAGAACATTTGTTGTGTCACATTGTGACAATACGTCATGATGAGCGGACCAATAGAAACGGTCCATTACTTTAAATGATTAACATACATAAATGTACTGGAATATAATTTCTTAACTACAGTAGTACAAGTATGATTGTCATTGGCCACTTTATTAGAAAGCTTTACTTGCAGCTCCTCCCTGCTGGTGTACAGTAAGTAAACATTAGGCCATCTGTTAACACACATTTCGTGCTAGCCATCATCTAGGCTTTCATTACTGGTCAGTTTCTGACCACAGAGCCACTCTTGATGTGTGTAAAAACCCAAGCAACACTACTATGCCTATACACTTGTATCAGCTCCATACACGCTACTGGCTTGCTGCAGTCCACCACCCATATAATATCTGGTCAGCATTGGTTTTGTGGTCAGAAACTGACTGATAATGTTCACCCCAGTGTTATTATACAGTCTTAGAAAAGACAGCTCTTCAAGGGTTCTTTAGGAATGAAAATAAACACTCAAAGAACCCTTTGGATGATTAAAGAGTTTATCGCATTGTGAAATGGTTTTACAGATTGATGGAGAATGTGCTATAGATGGTTCTATACAGAACACTTTTGAAAAGGGTTCCATATAGCACCAAAAAGGGTTCTTCTTTTGCTATTGTCACGCTTGACACAATAGAAGAACACTTTTGGTGTTATACAGAACCCTTTTCAAAAAGGTTCTATATCAGTCTTGGCTCTTTATAGAACCATTTTCTTTTCTAAAGGACCCTTAAGAACAATTCTTTTTAAATGTTTAGTTAACTGAAACTATTACTAAAATGAAAACTAGCATTGGAAAATATGCTGGTTAACTGTAAAGTACAATAAGACACAAATAGTAAATCAAAACTATAAAGTCCACTGCAAAACTAACTAAAATAAAATACAACTGCTGAGTAAAAAACACTTTAGTTTTAATTTTTTAACTAAACTATAACTGTTATAACTAAACAAACTATAACTAAACTAAAACTGTTACTTTTTTTTAGAAAATAAAAACTAAAGTTATTAATGCACATTGAAGACTAACTGAAATTGAACTAAAAAAAATAACAACACAAAATAACATCTAAATGAAAATAAAACTAATAACTAATACAAATTTTAAAACTATTTTTTAAAACTTTTTCTTTATTACAACTTCAATTCTTTGCAGGAGACTTCAGTTTTGCAAAGAAATCTGCCGGGATATTTTTCCACACCTACCAAGTTCAGTCTTAGAAGTTGGTTGAACTTTCCACCCATGATCCAAGTTATCCCACCCATTTGATGTTTACCTGTGGATTTTTTTCAGATCTGAAGCAAGAGTGGGCTTTCTCTTAAAAAATGAAAACACTGTTTATTTGATTGTAACTATTTTGCTGGTCTACCAGGTCTTACAGTACCATTTATTCTATATCTTTATATTTTTCTACATCTATATATATATATTTCCCTTTAATGGCTGGAAATTAAATGAACAAAAAGTGGCCTCTTTTTCACAGTAATGTATACAGTGGATCTATTAGGCTGGTCATAAATGGGTCAATAAGTGAAACTACAAAGCAGATGTTTCTAATAAATTGCCTAAATGACCAGTCTAGGTGTCAACAAACACTGTCTAACCTGGACCTAGAAATGGACATCAGTAACTCGTCCTGTATAGCAGTCAGTGTAAGTGTTGAAACCAACACTATTGACCAAATGAACAGAGACTCGCAGACACCTACAATGTTTGTCCAAGTCAAAACCTATTTTTCTAAGCAGTGCCTCTCTGTAACACAACGTAACAGAGTGTGTTTGTTTCCCCGCTGCGCATTCCAGAGCCAGATCCTGGCTGGCCACTTCTGGGGCTGTTCCAGATAAGCGTGCTGGAAACCGGAGAGCAGAACTGATCAAAAACATTCCTAACATCAAACCCTTCTCCTTATATAGGGTGCTCGCTTCTCCCACTATGAGGTCTAGATTTTTTTTTCGAGCCAGGAGAGCGTCCATATGTGTGCATTCAATCACCTCTCCATATGTACACCATTACTCCTCCATTCCCTTGGCAAACATGCATAACTTGGGTTCATTTCTCTAAAGTCAGACTTGCGTATGAAAAAGAGCTTTTGTTTATTGAAAGCCGAGAAGACGCTGTTCCAGGTACCTTTGAAGTGTGAGTGGATGAATAGCTGTATAATCTAAACCATTCACGGCTGCACACGCATGTGCATGCACATGCCTGCGCACACACACACACACACACACACACACACACACACACACACATACACAAGTCACCAAACTTTCACCTCAACTTCAGGCATTGGAGCTGAGTGACTCTATGCTGCCCCCTTCTGATCAAATTAGATAAAACAATGGCATGACCTCCAGGCCTCTGCCAAACTACACCGGCTGACTGACACTGTTTACTCTGCAGTCCTTTATAGCTCACATAGCATGTTATCAACATCTGATTCTTATCACTTACTCTCAGAAGAATGGAAATGATACACATAAACATCTTCAGCATGACCAAACACTGTCATTTAATATCGATTTTGCCATACAAACCATTTGTGCAAAATAGTTTTATCACAATTACAAAGAAATCAAGGCCACATGGTTGATATATCAAGAGTGTAAACTGTTTGTCATGTATACAATGCATTCTTAAAGAAGTCTGCTCTACAGAGAGCAGGAGAAAATGATTCACAGTCTTTAATATTAAGTGGTTTTTGGCTTGGTGTATAAGTAGGTATGCTTACAAAACAAATGCCTGCATAAACCTTCAGATATTCTCGGACGCAGATTTTAAGAGCACTTACAAGGAAATAAATGTCCAGGAAAAAGATGGAGGATGGATCGTCCAGGTGAGTTTACATCATAAATATGATCACTACACGCCGAGAGGTTTGGGCAATTTTTGACTTGCTTTTGTCTCACATAGTTAGAAGTATAAGAATATTGCAATATTACTATAAAAACCATGATATAAAATTGTACAAAAATAAACCACTGATCCAAACAGCAGTTATTACATGCATAATAAGGTTATGTTCACTTGTGATATGCCATAATGTGTTATGACACTGAGACTAGAAAGCATTTCTGTACCCTGAACCTTGATTGTCTGAAACATGGGAATAAAAAAATGGGGCATCTGCATTTAATAGTTGCATAGCAACAAACTCAAAAAATAACAAGAAATATCTACTGACTGGACAATGGAACTAATCCTTGTTAAGTGTTATTTAAGCTCCTGGTCTGAACAGTCAGCACAGTGATGTAATAATACTAACAGGCAGATACAGTATTAATCATGAACACTACAAGTGAAGAATGAGAGAAAAGCACATTAACTTCATTTCTACAGCAACATAGGAAAACTCTGCCCCCTGGTGGAACCTGGTATACATTGCAGCCTGGACAGCTAATTTTGCTAATGAGACACTTTAAAGAAGAAGAAACTGCTTTAGTATATTTGTTTCTCACGGGTTGCTGATATAGGTTATAAAGTGAATCAGACAAATGTGATTGTGATATTCTAATCCTGAACAAAACTGTGGTCGCTAACACAATAAACTATGTAACAGCCGGAAGGAAAAGCTAAGCTAATGACAATGTAAAGTGTGGTGTATGGTTTGCCATTCGCACTTTTTACTGAAGCCCAAAGTGACCACAAAGTCTCCTATATATAAAGGACACTGAAATCCTTTCACTGTGTTGCATCTTACTCTAAGCACATCTTGCTGCAGTCTGTGAATACCCTGCATCATAAAGCTGTCTTTTCCTTAGTCCTCTTTACTGCATATTGTATATGACAACAAACTACGCATTATACTCTACTAGACTCCAAACATGGAAGGCTTTCAGACTACACAGTGATGTGGTTTTCTGTATAGACAAAAACTTGTTCAATTCAACAAAATTTCAGGCTGAAATTGATAAGGCAACAACTTTTCAAGAAGTGATTTCAGAAGAAAAAGTAGTGGACAGTAAGTACATGAGCACTGTGTGAAACAAACATCATTGCTGAACCAAAGGATTGACTGTGGTGAACCTCTAGAGACTGATCTGTAATTTCATGTCCTTTTGATGTCTCCTGGGAAGATTTCAGCTCCTCACATTGATAGAAGAGGAACAATGAAAGGGATCAATGAGGGCTCAAGCTGCACAGTCCATTTGAAATGTCTTGAGGCAGATGTTGTTGAAAGAAGTATGACTATACTCTAATTTCAAGGCCACATGAGGCTTCCTTTGCAAGAAACAGTCGTTTCGCTCAAACATGCAGCTAGGAAAGAGTCTTCTTCAGGCATCATACCAACATCATCTGAAGAGGAGATGAGGAGACTGCTCACGTTTTTTTTTTTTTTAACTTTTCATACACTTTTCATATAAAAAACACATAAGCATATAAATCTTTACATTCTATTCAGGGTATTTTTTGTATTTACAAAGTGAAAGAGGAACATTTTTAAAAATATCAATAATTATAATCATTTACAAAAGGAAAATTTACAAGTCGGCGGTGATGACCGATTCACTGTACATGAGTCTGTTGGAGTCGGCCAGCAGTGCCGCTTGAGCTGGGTCCAGCGGCAACCCCTTCTGTGGCATGTGTCCAAACATGGGCACTGCGCCACCCTGCACGGCCGGCATGGCGGTCAGAGCCACGCAGTGAGAGAGCAATGGAGTATTGGCGTCATGGTTGGAGCCTGTTGAAGGCACGCTGGTCACATGACCGGTGCTGGTCGAGCCGCTGGCACTGCTGGGTGAGCGGCTCTTGGGTGGAGGGCAGTGCTGGACCACCCGGGTTGGCGCCTGAGTTGGGGCAAAGTGGGCAGCTGGGAACGCAGCATAGCCTGGTGGAATTGCATAGCCGTTAACAGGAATGAAACGTTGGTTCTGCGATATTGGCGCTGCCATGAAGCCTGCGATCTGGCCTGGAGGTAGCCCTTGGGGAGCCCCATAGATGTAGCCAGCATAGCGCGGGCTGCTGAGGTTGCTGACTGGGCTGGCGCTGAGAGAGGTGGTCTGGGTGGTGGCATTGCCCCCGGATGGGGTGCTGGAGCTTGCATGAGATGACAGACCCTCCCAGGCACGCAAACGGGCATGGATGTCTTTAAACCTGGGCCTCCGGGCGGGACCCTCCTGCCAGCATTCGGTCATTAGAGCATACATACGTGGAGGGCAATCCTCAGGACATGGTAAAAGCTGCCTCTTGCGCACCATCTCCATCACCTCCTGGTTGCTAAAGCCATAATAGGGCTGGAGGCCAAAGCTGAAAATCTCCCAGAGCACCACCCCAAATGCCCAAATATCAGAGTCTGTGGTGAACTTGCCGTACGCAATGGCTTCCGGAGGCATCCAGCGTATGGGAAGCAGGGTTTTAGGCTGGACACGGTAGTAATCAGATGCATAGATCTCCCTGGACAGTCCCAGGTCAGAGATCTTCACGTGTAGCTGTTCCCCTACCAGTATGTTCCTGGCTGCGAGGTCCTTATGGACAAAAAAGTGGCTGGACAGGTACTCCATCCCTGCTGCTACTTGAGTGGCTAGGTGCAGGAAGTCTCCATGGTCCAGACTGGACTTTACGGTTCCATCCTCATCACTACTGCAACCCACGTCCGAGTGTGGGGAGCGCATGATGAGGAATTCGTGAAGGTCTCCGAGGGCCAGGAACTCAAAAAGCATGCAGACGGGCTGCTCCTGGGTTACCACGCCTAGCAGACACACCACATTAGGGTGGTGGAGTTCAGACAGGACTGACGCCTCCTGCTGGAAGTCCCCCCACTGTTGTGGGCTGGAGAAGTCCTTCAAAGTCTTGATGGCCACCAGCTGAGCGTGCTCCATGCCTGGAAGATACAGATGACCCTTGTAGATCTTGCCAAAGTTGCACTCGCCCAGCTCCTCCATGAAGCGCACAGCTGACAGAGGAAGCTCCTTGGCCTTGCTCTGAAGTGGAGGAGATTAGAGAGACATATTAAGAGTGCATTGTGGTTCATGGCCTATCAATCATGTTTGTATATGTTCCTTAATTAGGTTTAGCTTCATGCCTTAAAATAACAGAACCACTTTACAACAAGACTTTCCTTATAAATGGTTGAAAATTAGTTTATTATTGGTCAATAATTTGGTCATAAACACCTTAGAAATCATTAATAAGCAATTATAACACATATAAAAGGGAAACAGTGACCTGTTAAACCTCAGATCTTGCTAGTTACTTATTTTACTTTGTCTTATTTGCGAGTCATCATCATACCTGTCAGCTTCATCAGATATTTGTGTTCATCAGATATAACAGGTCACTGTTGCCCTTTTTATTTAAGTGTTATAACCACTTATTAAGGATTATTTAAAGATGTCAATTACCTAATTAATAAGAATAATTGAAGTTTAAACTATTCATGAACGTTTTTATGAAGGGTAGTCTTGATGTAAAGTGGTACCCAAATAATATTTTGGCAAAAATCTAATTTGTTAGATTATGTAATAATTGATATGTTTGGTGTCCAAATTTTGCTTCTTTAGTTTTGCACTAGAGCTAATGTAGCTAACAAACTAATGGAAGCTTATACCCCACCACTTAGCATTGTGCAAACCGCACAATTACCTAACTCAACTTACCTAACTCCTCACACGCTTGCTTCCAACCATGTCAAATTGTTTAGTAATCTCAGTAGATTTGCTTTTGTGGTTTCTTACAGAATGCTAGCATCTATATATCTAAGATCACCTGTACTAGGCCATTTACAACAAGTAAAAGAACTTCTATCCTAAAACATACGAGCGATCATTGGGATCCACACTTCTGCATTATGTACAAGTTGTAGGGAGTGTATTGTTTTTTAGGGCAGCCCATTAAAAATGACATTACAAAAGTTAATTGAACTTGTAACAATTTCATGTACAAGTTTTTCTGCATCGTTCTGGGATAGAAAACGCCTAACTTTACAATATTTCTTAAATGATCAAATGCAGCTTTAGAAACAATTTACATGAGGAATAAAACAAAGATCAGCACCTAAAATTAAACTCTGGTCTGTACTTCAAATTAGACCTATGATGCACAAATACTTAATGTCTCACAAATCAGTTAACTGCTTGGATTTTGTATCTTTTGTCCAAATTAAGCTGCAATGTCCAAATTAAGTTACAAGAACAATTTATTAGCCTGTTAACAGAATCTCGACTTGGAATGGAAGTGTATAATCATCTATATGAAAATTTACCTACCAAAAAATCAGCTATGAAAATCTCTATGAAAATCTATGTTTATTTTTTAATCACTTCCTAGAAGTAGGGTATAGAGTGAGCAACAATCCTGAAATGGAACCTTGTGCAACTCTACTAATTTTAGATTTCCCAATATTTTAGATTTTATATTTCCAAACGCTACAAAAACTGCTAAATATGGATCAAACCATTCTAAAGCTGTGTCTGAGAGGCCTGCCCTGTTTTCAAGTTGATAAAATCAGGATCTCGTGATCAGCTATATGGATTGCTACACTGAGATCCAGCATTTTATTACTAAAAACGTTACATGAAATCATAAATCATTCAGTTTACAACTACAAATACAAATCTTTTACTGCTGAATATTGCTTTGATGCAGCTGTCTGAGATCTGGCTTTGAGATTTAACCTCTTTCTGTGGCCTCTGTCTTCCGTTGTGCCCTGTAGTTGAACAGAGACTAAAGACCTGAACAGACACCCACACATTAATGTGATACATCTGCTTACATCAACACTTTAGAACCGTCGTCAAGAGTTGATCTATACTGGCTAGCAGGAGATGCTGAACATCTTCAGCAGAAGTGAAATCAACCCACTCATTTCAAAGTGAGACGCCAGTCATTTCAGTCAAATACAAGTAATCATTTTCAATCATAAAGAGGAGGTGAAGAGTCTGGCTCGACTCACTTCCACAGGGAATTCTACTCTATCCATACAACACCTACACTCACAATGGCTGAGACTTGTCGAGATGAGTCACTAGCCTGTAGATTTTTTGTAATAACCTTTCTTCAAGGCCCATTTCTGCACAAGTTATATCACTGATATTGAATATAAACTTTATGAACTGTCATGCCGCAACTATATCCCAATCATAACAACAGAAATATTATTATAGCCTAAGCTTTTCATGTTTTATTAGTAACATCTCAACAGATAAAACATTTCACTTCATCTACTGATGTAATCCACAAGACTGGCCAGCAGTGCCAAGGCAGTGGCCCATGAGAGAGTGAGATGATAGGGAAAAGAATAAAAGATTCCAGTAACCTTTAGAGGTAAAATGAAATTCCAGTCAGAAAGCAGAAAGAGGGAAGTGAAGAACTCTTATGAAAGTGACAGCTGGTTTGTGTTAGGATCAGCTCTACCCGAGGCTAACCACATCTCAACCCTGATCTACTCATCCTGGATGACCTCTGGGTGACCCTGCTCTGAACTTTACCTCGTAGCTGAGCCCTTAAAAGAGTGTTGCAAACATGGTACATGGAGCTGATCAAACATCAGTGGTTGGTTATGTTTCATACACACTGTGCAAAAGTCAGAGACTACCATTTATTTAATGTCTGGTCAAAATGTCATTCAGTAGAAGTTACATTAGGACATTAGACATAAGCTCATCCATTTGCATAAGGAAGGAGAAAGTCAAAAGACAGGAAGTGAAAAAAAGATAGAGAGAAGATATTGAGTTCTGAAAGATACAGGGAAAATCCGACTCCTAGCATCCAAACAAGACCTGTTAGCCCAACAAAACTGTCACTATCAGATAAACTACTGCAGTAGAGATGAAAAGCCCCACTCTTGCTTTATATCTGTTATATTATTGCTTCTATCTGCAAGAAGACAACTCAACTCTATGGCTCTAAAAGGATGTGTAGCCGTTAAGAAGCCATTACTGAGAAAAGAAAATAGACAAGAACATTTGCAAAACAGACAAAGAAGCTGCTGGTGTTCTCAGAACAATGGACTGACCACCCCAGAGTCCATACCTCCACACTGAATATGTTTGGGATTACTTGGATGATAAGAAGCAGAAAATTCAACCAACTTCAAAGACAGAACTGTGCAGGTGTGGGCTTTTTTCTCTGACACTAAGAAATAAAAAGCATGTACCTGAGGGTTGTTTTGACTGGAAATTAAACAAATGAAAGGTGGTCTCTGACTTTAGCATGGGAATGCACACATTTTAAACAAGTGAATTCAATGCATAGGGTTTTAGTGAGTGAAGGAAACAGACGAGAGAGGCTGTGTGTATGCGTTTGAGAGAGAGGTGGTGGTGGGGTGCAATAGCTTATAGTGCAGTCATAAATCTTTGCGTCACTAGTGTGTAAAGCCCTGTGTAAACTCCTCTCGTTCTTCCGTCTTATGGGTGACTGCACTGTTGGCCAAGGTAAAGTCTAGTCATATATAAAGGCCTGTAAACACACTATACTGTCTATTTCACTGAAAGAAGACCAGAAAACAGTGACTCTCTCAGTACAAACAGCCTACAAACATCACTGAAAAAGATTAACGGGAATTAGAATTGATGAGATTTACAATGAAAATGATTTGTTTTAGATTCAAGTGATCCTACTAGTCATAGTTAACCAGGGGTTGCATTAACTAGCTTATGTAATGTGTAGAACGTTGTGTAATTGGTTGTTTCACATCATTTCAAATTTCAAACATTTAGGAAATATTTAATTTATAAAGTAGAAATTATGAATTAAGAACTTGTTTTGTGTGAGCTTTAGCAGTAATGGGCCGTTCATTGCTACTGAAAGCTCTACCAAACACACTTTTTAATGGATTTTGTGTCTGTAAATTAAAACACTTTGGTTGTTTTTCTCTGACTCTTTTCTTTTTGACTCTTTTGTTTCCTAAGTAGACCTAATGCTAGCTTTAGACTCCACACACGCCTTAACACTAGAGACTGCCTTTAGCCTGTGTATTTTAATGGAGCTCTTCATGCTCAGATGAAATCTGTCATCATCAGATAGGAGCTCATATGATACAACTGATGCATTGCACTTCTGATTTCTGAACGTTTTCACTATGTAGATATGATAAATGTGTGTGCCAGTGGGCCCCCACTGAGTGGAGTCAAAACACTGTTGAGAAGGCAGAGGAGGCCTCATTTGAAGTCGCCTTGAATGTAAGGAATGTAGAAAGCACAATAATGACAATGTGATGGTCCTCAGATTCCTCAGCCCCAGTTAGATTGTATCCATATGGCCCCTCTTTTTTACCCCCTTCAGCTCTGCTGTTTTAACTTTTTGGAAAATAAGGATAAAATATTTAAATTAAATTAATTTACACACTTTTCCGCTTAGCACAGATGCAAGCGATCAGCCAAGAGATGTTTGGTGTCTGGAATTAGCTTCTTTAGTTTTGCACTGGAGCTACGATGTAGCTAACATGCAATGGAAACTTATTCCCCATCACTGCACAAACTGCATGTTTCAGTCATGCATCTCATCGAGTTGTACTAACAAGTAGACTTACTTATTTGGGTTGTGACACTGTATGACATTTTTATTTGACAAAAATCAGTCTTCAAGATTGTTCTTATAGATAACACTGTGTCATACAAAACCTACAAAACAGCATATTAGAAACCACATAAGCATACCTATTTACTTGACTCGTGACGAGTTAAGCATGCAAAATACTAATCAGTAGGGTAGAAAGAGAAAGATTATAAAAGAGGAGGAGACAGTTCACCAGTTGAAAAATGAATGGGAAATACCATAACCTCATGTAGTGTTTTTTACAGGAAACGTCCCACCTTTCAATAAAAATGGTCATTCGGCTAGCTGGTAATCCTCAAGTGGGAAAAGCCCTCCCTCGTTGTGTAGATATGTGTGTACGCAATAACCAGAAGAACATGAAAAACATGCTTATTGTGTGTTGTTTGAGAAAATGCTACACATTATTTTTGCATTTTTTACCAGATTTTAGTAGTGATTTCAAAATGTTTTTGTGATTTTATTCTAAGGGATTATATGACTGAACAATAGCTGCCCAGGGGCATTGCCAAGTGGACAGCTTTTCCTATAAAACTTTGAAATACATTAGCCCTGTAGCACAAGTACAAAAATAACGAAGCAAATTTCAGACCCCAAACATGTCTTGGCAACTACTTTGGCATAAAAGTAGAATTATGTAAATCTGCTCTTTTGCTGAAATGGGCCTTTAAGACTTTTACAGTAAACTGTTCAGGTGCTTGCTTTTTAGCGACTTCTCTCACCTTCGGCTTGTAGGCAGGGAGCATGGACATCTCCACATTCTGGCCGCGCACAGGCTTGGGCTGACGCTGGGCAGGAGGGCGTGAGGCTTTCTGGTTGTTCCGGCACACACAGATGAAGAAGAACAACAAGGCGATGGCTAGAGGAATGGCCACACTGGGGACCAGGATATACAGGATCTCCACACTGCCTCCACGCTTTTCTTTAGAGTCTGACCAGCACAAACAACATCAACACTCTGTGTGAGAGCTGAAATAGCAAGCTGTCCGCAAAAATGTCCCTCCAGATTTGAATAACAAACTGCTCAGTTTGCATCAATCATCTAGACAACTTTCATCCTATTGAAATACTGTTTCCTTAAAATGCTGCTATCTTAAGCACTAAAACATTTGAAAGCCATAAAACTATTTTAACTATTTATTCTAACTATTTTTGTAAGAACAGTCATTTACAGTTAACAAGATATCTGGGCAAGCAAAACGTCACACTGTGTAAGGTTTTAAAGGAGTAGTTCAGCAAAAAAACCTAACTTATACAACTTTACCCCTACACAAAATGTAGCTCTTCAGCCAAGACATATATGGTATAGAGCTATGACGCTACTAAGGCTAACTAGTAATGGAAGCTTATAGCCATTGATTAGCATTTAAACTGAATGAGATCATCTGCTCGCCTCAAATCATAATAAGTTGGTAAATAATCTCAAGCAGACTTGCTTAAGTGGTTTCTGGTGCTGTATGTCATACTATTATATATAAAAGTGCACAGATGAGAAGATATAAAGTGTGTCATACAGCTACAAACACTCATAGTAGCCATCTTGAATGAATTTTCTAGATTTTACATCATGTCCTACAGTGTGGACTACAATTTTTGCCAAACTATTCCTTTAATGCTCCCCTAAACCAGGAACTAGGGTGTTTCTTACCACATGGAGGGATGTCACACAGTTCCATGCGCACGCTCTCGTCCAGAGTGAAGCACCAGGGAGCCTCGTGCTTGTTGCCGGGGTTACGACAGTACGAGTGGCCGCCGTTGAGCTCTGGGTAGCGGACGGCCAGATAGTTGTGGCTGTGAGGGTACTGCGAGTTCCAGGGCTGGCACTGTCGGCCGGATTTAGTCACACTGGTCGTCCCACGATAGTCTGAGCCGCTGCTGTTGAAGCATTTGTGATCTGAGCCAGGAAGGAAAAACAGGCAGTACACAAATTAGGTCAAATTACACAACAAGAAATCTTCACTCAGCGGTTTCTTACAAAGAACAAATAACTCATCAAAATAATCAGTACACTGTAAAACATGGAACAGGGCAGAGGTTGATTTAAGGTGTTTTAAGGGTGAATAAAAATCCTTCATTTTTGTAAAAAAATGCTTTTGCTGATCTAAACTAAAATAAAACCAGTTTGATTACTTGTTAATACAGTATTTTTTTAGGCTGAAGTGACTTTCTGTCAGTGACAGAGTATACTGTCACTGTCGGAACAAATTTTGCAATTCCAAAATGGCAACTTTCTAGGAAAAGGAAATATTAAAAAAAACAGAAAACAAACAAAAACGAAAGTACAATGTTTTGTCCTGACAGCAGCAATATATAGCTTAATATTAATCAATGCCTTTAAAACCTAAAGCCTGTACTGCTTGACTACGAATAATGGATTTAACCATCTCATCTGTTAACTCTCAGGTTTAGTGGATGTGTTTGAGTAGGGGAACTACTAAACTGTGGTGGACACTGGCCCTCCAGGATCAGAGTTGTGCCACTCGGGAGCCATAACTTCCCGAGGGCACTAGCAAGAGCATGAGAAAATGCTCACATATTGAAAAGATGTGCTTACTTTTATTGATGGACTCAGCCATGGGTATTCCTATCCTCATGCAGTTGGCTGCCTCAGGGCTGTCTGACGCGGCCAGGTCATCACAGTTGGGCAGTTTGAGGCGTTTGAGGATGAGGGGGTTGGAGCGGGCGATGATGTACTCAGTCTTACACAGGTCATTCTCTAGAATCTCACACTCATCCTTACACAGGTCCCGCGGTTTGTCTATCCCAGAGCTGCGGTCACATGTTGGGAAGGCGAAGTGGCAAAGAGAGGGGATGGCAAACTGAGAGCAGCGATCTGATAGGTGGTTGGAGGTGCCAATCATGGTGAATGCAGCTGGAGAGGAAGGGGAGATGAAGGAATATTGAACAGTTAATGTACACTACAGATACACATACATCCCTACAAACATATAGACAACAATGCACATCACGTAACACAGCTTGTGCATCTCTGTTGTTCTACTTTCTGCAAAGTGCTTGAGATGCTGCTTTGGGCTAGAATGATAATCACAGAGAATTCCAGGCCTCAGATGTTCTCACACTGCTAGAACTGGGAGTGCACTTTTAGAAAACACTTAGAGAAAAGCCAAGCTATTGTTGAAGGCCGTTTTAGTGCAGCCTTTCGGCGCACCATACTGTGATTTAGTACCATGACCTCCAGAAGACCGTTGCATTGATCCCATGATAAGAGGCAGAGGCTGCTTTTAGCTCAGTGTGGCTCCTGAGCTTGTGTAATCCTCATGGACAATAATAGGGAGTTATCAAAATACAGAAATGAGACTGGTCTCTGGGGCAATATATTTTCTAACCCAGAGGACTGTGAATGTCCTTAAAAGACAGTGCTGGCTCTGGTTCCATCACATTTCTGACGCTGCGCTGGCTCAAACAATAACAAGAAGCAGAAAAAACATTTTGGTCTATATATATTCTCTTCATGCACTGGCAGTAAAATGATGGGTTCTGGTAGTTCTGTTATACTGTGCGGTTATTTTGCTGCCATGATATGGGTCTACACGTCCCCTTAGAGGGAAGGGTCACTGCAAATCAATACAATGTTATTCTGACTGATCATCTTTATCCTATGATGACACATTTCTATCCTGATAGGAGTGGTCTAATCCAGGATGACAATGTCCCCATTCACAGGGCGCAAGGGTTTACTAAACTATGAAAATGATGCAAATCGTATGCTATGATCTTTAATCACCAGATCTCAGCCAAAGTGAACACCAATGGGAGACTTTGGAGAGACAGTACTGTCTACCACCGTAATTAAAATGAATAGAAGAAATGTCCTTTGGAAGAACAGAGTTCCATCACTCCAAACTAGTTCCAGAGACTTATATAATCTATGCCAAGGAGCACTGAAGTTGTTCAGGCAGCTTGTGGTGGCCCAAAACCTTACTGAGGCACTTATGTTGTGAAGGGTCTTAGAATGGGTTGAGGTAGATTATTTTCCAACACAAATCACCAGATTAAAATCCCAATGTGGACTACATTGAGAAATGTATGGAAAAGATAAATCCAACGACTATGGATGTGGACAGCAGTAAAAATTCATTGGAAATGCACCATATATCCAAAAGTATCCAGATGAATCCAGAAGTAGGGAATTCAGTTACTTTAAAGTGCATCTGCTGCAAACACAGCAGGTATAGTCTCCAAAGAAAAGCACTGCCAAGAGAAGAGGACATTCTGACATTGAGCTGTGGAGCAGTGCAGCTGTGTTCTCTAGAGTGAGGGAACACCACTCAATATCTTTGGGAAGAGCTGGAGTGGCATTTGTGATCCAGAACTAAACATCCAACATCAGTACCTTAATGCTTTTGGGGTTGGGTGCAATCAAATCCTCACAGCAATGTTCCAACATCTGGTATAAAGCCTTCTCAGAAGATTAGAAACTGTTACAGACTATTAATACCCTCAATTTCAGAAGAAACATTAGATGATCTGATACGTGCAACACTATTCAAAATACTCCTAATTGTCCACTTTCTATGCTTAACATTAATTGTCTTGTGTTTATCAGTGGTCATTACAGACAACATTCGAGCAGTTCTGTTTTTTAAGTGGTACACAGTAACCTCTGCAGAAGTGAGGGCAGACAAGCTGGTGTTATGTCCGCTGAGGGTAGAGTGACTCAGACTATAGGCAACCTTTGTGATAAGTCCACTAAGCAGGGCAGAAGTTCATAAGGAAGAAATGAAGTACTGCACCAGTTATTTGAGTTTCGATCTCTCCCTGCATCTGCAGCGAATCTACAAAGATGCTTCTGTTCCCAATGAAACGAGCACAGGCGATTCCTCTGTAGGGCTGGCAGAAGCCTTCCTCATCAAAGTCCTCACTGAAAGATTCGACACAGAAAAGAGAAGGTTAATGTCATGAATCAGAATGGAGAAAACCAGTAACACATGCTACAAACAACTTCTGAAAAGGAAAACTGTCATTGCAAACTTGGCAGGAACACTAATGCACCAATAGAAAGTCTATTTGTTGCAGTTTAAGTCAGAAATTAGGTTCAAGTATTAAGTCTCATTTTGGTTTCACCTAAAAACTTGAAGGTTACTGACCATTGAAAGAATTGCATTCTAAGAAAACAGTGCAGTTTCATATGATAAACACAAGGGGGCAGCAAGAATCACAGCATTATAAAACCAGCCCAAGGTTCGGTGTGAGACCGCTCGTCTTAACTCACTGCCTGGTACTCAGTCCTGACTCAGTTAAGTTGTCTAACACATGAGAAAAACATATTCCGCCTCAATATATTGCAGGTTTAGAAGAATAAAGAATACAAAACAACATTTCAATATAGAAGGGAAAAGAATTATTGCTCTGTGCACATATAAAGAGGAGCATGACATCTGCAGTAATTTGAACCATATGGATGGGTGGTTCTCTGTGTTTGAGAAAGAGGCGATGTCTGAGGGATCATGGTTTTACTCCACAGTGACATGCCACATGCCTTTTCCTCAATGATGTCATACTACTGCACATCAGTGAGGTCACCAAAAGCAGAACAGTTCCTTTGAGTTATAAAGACTGAGGACACAGCATTATTTCATAATTAACAGAGCTGTCAGCATAAAAGATAGAATGAAATAATTACATAAAAATATGTAGTTGGACATCATTCTAACTGCTGTAGGTTCTTGCAAGAAAAAAAAGCCAGACACTACCCTTCATTTAATTTCCACTCAAAACAGCCATTAAGTACAAGTTTTTCATTTTTCTGCCTCACGAACAAAGGAGAAAATACATATTTAACCGAAAATTACACAGAAGCCTCAACAGATAAATATACTATTAAATCCTTCAGTATTTAGTGTGTCCACTCTTTTCTTTTTTTCACAGCTTCCATTCTTTTTGATACTTGCTTAAAGTTTTTCCAGGGAAATTTGTCCACACCTCCAAAGTTCAGTCTTAGAAGTTGGTTGCATTTTCTGCTTCTCACAATCCAAGTAATCCCAAACACATTCAGTGAAATAAAAAAAAATCACTCCAGCTTGGACAACAGAAATATGGAGATGGGTCCCACAGCTGCTCAATGTGTATGTCAAAGGACTGTGTTTGTGGATGTGGCCGCAGACTGGAGGCGAAATAACAAGGGCGAACAGAAAGCTCTAAAGTGCCCATATATAAACATGTATGTATTTAAGTCTGTGTTTGTATCTTTAGGTGGTCTGGCACGCTCTGTTTGGGGAACCAGTGCAGATACCACTGTTCAATGGATCAGAGCCAGCAGGAGTGCCAGGGGGTGTATCCGCATTTCAACACTTTAGCTAATTACAAGAAGTAAAAAGGGTGAGACAATTATGTAATGTTAAATCCATGTTAACGCAAAACATCAACCTTTAGAAGTCTAGAGTTATTAACGTAGTTTTGCTGTGCTACTTAAACATAATTACCTAATGATATGACATAGTTACATACTTAGAAAATGAATTACATTTACAATTAATTTCATTTTTGTAATGACAGCTTCAAATCTGCACTTCTGACTTCATGTCTGTTTCAATGTCAACAAATGACAAAACAAGGCAAAAATGGCAAAACAAGACTCCAATACCTTCTCATGTACTTGCTAACACAAACATGGTATTGAATAGAAGTTTAGAATCCGTCACTCAACAGAATGTCCTTATGTGCTTCAATTAACTATAAGTGAGAAATGATTTGTATAAAATTACACCATGCTTTTGTTATCCTTGATAACTGACTGCTAAGGCTCTATACTAGGCTTAGACACACAAAAAATGCTAAAAAATGAGTATCCCAATCCAGCACAACCTGCAGACCCAGCAGAAAGTGCATGGCTAAGGTGTTGAGCATATGGAGATGTCAAATGTTGCCTGCCTGCGCAGCGGAGAGAATGGATTTGGCTTGTGGATGTTAGTGCAGAAGCCCCTGAGTTTCATAAAAGCACTGCAGCTCTCTCCACCCAGCAGCGCTATCTGGAGGAATCCTGTCATCGTCCAGCTTCTTCCCTTAAAAAGCGTTCAGCAGCTCTAAACACGTCTCTAAAACCATTTTCAAGCAGTCATCCAGTGTTTGTCACGCCACAGGGTGATCAATATAGAACGAGGAGGTTCACATCACTGGAATATGTTAAAAAAAAAGCTAAAAGCTATGCTGTGAAATGTGTTTCTGATAGTGAATCAGACGTGATGGAAAAATCAGAGCTTTCTATCGCAGAGGACTTGATTTAATAACCAATATTTCAGTTCTGTTGTATAAAGTATTGAAAGTGGACTGCACACCCAAACATGTCTCATTGAAGCACACAAAAGAGGCACTTTGGAGTGTTCTAAGCAGGTTTAGAGGAGGCCTGTGCAATATACAGCTCCATAGTCACTGACACCTTTAATAAGGATGGGTAAAAAAGGTCATGAAAGCTTGTCAAGAAAATTCTGTCACCAAAAAATCTTGGCTTTAATTAAAGTAAATTACAAAACCCCTTAAGATTTGTTTCAACAAAACCAATTTTTTTACTTCCAAAATATAATGCAATTTATATATATCTGTGTTTAGGAACTCTTAAGTGGTCATATATGACTTTCTGTTTTACTGGGGTATAAACATGAGGCAATACAGAAACCAAATTCTCTTAGTCATTCATCATGGGGAAGATTACAGAATACACCAGTGTAATTGAACAAAAGTGACCTTATTAATCAGGCAATGACCACAAAAATAGCCACATGTTTAAAATATATCCACTGAGATAATTAAGAGGTTTATAACAACCAGAGCTGTAGTGTGTTCGTCTGGAAGAGGAAACAACTTTATTCTGCCCCCAAGCAAAGAAGGAAAAATGGCCACAGAGGTAAACATTTCTCCAAGGATCACAGTTGGAGATGTGCAAAAGTGGTAGCATTATGGGGTCACCAAGTCTCCAGAACTACAATTAGATGCCACTTCCATGTCAACAATCTATTCAGAAGGAAGCCTTTTTTTCACATAAACCACAAATGTTAGAGCCTGGGATTTGCAAGATGCTACTGGAACTTTGACTGCAACCAGGTTCTCTGGTCAGAAGAGATCAAATTAGAGCTTTCTGGCTCCCACTGTTAAGTATGGGGGAGGATCTGTGATGTTTTAGGGCTGCTTTTCCTCCAAAGGCCCTGGGAACCTTGTTAGGATATATGGCATCATGGAGTCAATGAAGTATCTGGAGATTTTAAATGAAAATCTGGTGCATCTGCCAAAAAAGCAAAAACTGGGTCATGGTTGGATCTTCCAGCAGGACAATGATCCAAAACATATGTCTAAATCCACGTAAAGTTCAGTGACCACAGAATCAAGCCTTTGACATGACCATCCCAGTCCCCTGACCTAATCCTAAACCCTAATGAAAACCTGTGGGGTGAGCTGAAGAAGAGAGTCCAAAAGAGAGTAACTAGGACTCTGGAGGACCTGGAGGGCTCTGTATCGAGATGTGGTCTCATATTCCTGAGATCTCCAATCTGATCAGGCATTATTGGAGAAGACTCGTTGTTATGTTGGCAGATGGAGGTTAAAAATAGTCAAAGCAGGGGTGCCAATAGATGTGAAATGTAGTTTTGTGGGACTAAGTTCACGTACAGTTAATGTTTAGATTTTGTCTCATATGTTTTCAGTGTGAGACTGAGCTTTTGCTTTATTGTGCAGTCATAATCTACAATGTGGCTCATTGAATGAAAGCAGTTTCTGGTAGAGTCACAAGCCCACAAGCAAATGAGTTTATGCATTTGTAAATAAAACTCATACCTTGTGTATGACTAGGGATGTTAGATTTGTGTGTACAGTGTACTGTATGCATGAATTTTTGATTGAAGGTTATGTATACAGCCAAACTGGCAGTGATATTTCTTTATATTTTAATGTACTCAAACTGCAAATGACCCCATAAAAAGCGAACCCTTCTCTAAAACATAACTGACAAACTGACAAACAAGCTCTCCTCAGGCTCCTATTGTAGTCTCTGCTCTATGTCAACAGACAAACCCACATTTAGTGGCTTTTCAGCTCATCCAACTACAAACTTTTATGTGCCCATATATAATCACTCAGTGTATCTCCAGTTTACAACGTTTCCGACCCCAAAGAACAGAATTTTATGTAGATACTAAAATCAGTACCATGTAGTAGTAGTCGTAGTAATAATAATAATAATAATAATAATAATGACAGTCATATTTAATCCAATCTAGATATTAATGTTCCTCCTGCACTATATCAATGCAAACTGTTTCCAAACATGGGCAGAAGGCCTTAAAATATAAAGCAGAAACACAACGTGCTGAGGCTGTTCTAAGTCTGCACTGCTCAGCTCCCAGTCAAGACATAACTGAGATTCCTCTGAAGTCTGAAAGTACCATATGCACGCTTTGGAGAGGCTGAAAGAGAAGAGCTCAAGTTGGACTTGGCTCTGTGGCGTGACGGAGCTCAGGAGGAGTGTGTTTAGCTGTGGACTCATTTGTCTCTGGTTTTTGAGGTTTGTGGTGTGTGACCGTGGCCAGAGAGGAAGGGACACATGGCCACTGAGGGACTCTCATTAGAGGCAATGAAGAAAGAGAGGAAAGAGTTCTAATGTTACACAGACACAATAGCAGCCTCTATTAGGAGAGCACAGGACACAACCCCATAACCTTCAGCTATCCCAGAGGAGGGGGAAAAGACGGGAAAACTCAATTCAGATATATGAAAAGGCAACAGGCCAAAAGTAAGGAAGTAACAGTAACTTTGTAAAAATAATGATTTTTTTCAAGAGATAACAGACAGTGATATGTTCATTAACATAGAACAAAAAGGGTTAGATGGTGTGAATTTAACTTTAGCTGGGCCTGGTTACAGGTTGAGGGAGCC